ATCAGCGGTCCAAGGGTGGAAAGGGTGAAGCGGGGGTAGACTGGAGACTAGAGGACCCTCGCTGCCTAAGGTGCAAAAGTGCCAGGAGGAGAGTCCTGAGTAACAGCCAATCCCGGGGACCGGCGAGGCCTCTGCCGGGCCTGGGGGGGGGTGGGGAGTGGAGAGGAGGATGGTCCTGCCTCCTCTCCAAGCACCACCCCCAGGGCACTCAGTAACCTTGACGCCCCTCCCCAACCCCAGGATGAGGAAAGGGCGGGCGGGCAACCTAAGCTCCAGACACCCTCTTACCTGGCCCACGTGGGTTACAAAAGCGGTCAGGTGCCACACAGTGGGGACGCGGGACTGCTCTCCTGGAGCCTCTACTGGCCACACCTAAGGCGGCCTGCCCCTCTTTCCATTGCTTCCAGCACAGTGTGCTCAGCGGGCAGCTTATCGCCAGCTGGGCTGGGCCACATGCCCGTGCCAGGACAGCTCCTACAGGGCTGGTCACTGCCTCAACCCTCCTTATGGGGGCCCCATGCTCGATGGCATGAGGAAATGGCACTTCCTGCCCAGACACAGACCCAAGAGCCCAGGCAGGAAGCAGCCTGGGCCCCAGTTCTTGATTCCACAGGGTTAAAGACCCTAACCCACCTCTCCCAGAGCCAGAGCCGTGCAGCCCCAAGACAGGCCTGGTGGGACAGGCTCGGGCAGGGAGCCGCAGTGAGACCAGTTCCGGGCTCTGAGGCCTTTCTCACGAAACCGGACGCGGCTGCCTCTGGTGCTCATCCCCACCCCCAGAGGCAGAAAGCCCCATCTCAGTCAGTCCATAGCGCTGGGGCCACCACCTCCCCTCTCCCAGTACACTTCCTGAAAGGTCCAGTGCAAACCTCTAAACCCAGGGAAATCCTGTGCCGTCAGCAGCGCCCTGGGCCAGGGCCTTCTGAGGCTGTCAGGCCAGAAGGCCTAGTACTTTTGCTCTTGGGTTTCTCCAGCTTTACTAGACATGTGAACTCAGGACCCAGAGTGCCCAGTTGTACAGGCACACTGCCAATCCCCAGGACTTTGTCCCCTGCCCCCGCTGAGGGGCAACACAGGGTGGTGCCTGCAGGACGTGGCTCTTGGGTCCCAAGTCTAATCTGACCCTCCTGGTTCCACCCTGAACCTGTCTACAGTCTGGGAGCCAGTGTCTGTGGCCCTCTTCCCTTCCGTCCTCTTCCACGTCCCCCAGAAATCCCCAAGCTGCCACCTCCTCATCCACTCCAAGATGGGCCCTCCCTTCCACTGAGGAGGGTGCCGTGGTCACCAGGTCAGGACCCCTGATGTGACTGATCACCAAATACTGTGGTTTAGGATAATCTTCATGCTCCCGTGCAGTCCCACTCCACGATCAGGACGCCTGCAGTCCCCACCCCGGGGGCATGCTCACCACCTCGTCCCCAGCATGCACAGGAAGAGGACCGCGGGATAACGCCTGATCGGGAACCTAGTCAGATTTCAGTGGCCCAGTGAGCACTTCTGGGGTGTCCATGAACCTGCCGTGATTCCCTCGACACACCCTATCCGACCCTATCCCTCCTTCCAACCCTATCACGCATTGCAAGGCAGTTTTATTCTGAGAACTCTGCTTTTGAGAATGGTATTTATCAAAACATCTGCTATTTAATGGGCAACTTCTCCGGGAATGCGACGCCTGGAGGATGTCCTGTAGTTGTGTGGGCCCCCCAGAGACACAGCCACCGGGGCAGGTGGGGCACCAACCTCCCAGGGCACATTCCGGCCCAGGGCCTGGGGCACAAGGTGAACACGCCCCACTGCCTCTCTCTGGAGCTGATTTTGGAAGGTATGTGAGAGGGTCTTAGGAAGAATGAGACCGAGCCGGCCCTCCCCTCAAAGCTGAGGCCTGCGGAGGCGTTCAGTCAACCAGCCTGTGTTCCGGGACCAACCCCACAGAAACAGGGAGTCTCAGGCCTCCCCCAAACCAGGCCTCCTTCCAGCTGAGACCCCCGCTCTGCTGCTCCTGCACGGGTTGGTACGTGAGGCCAATTCAAGATGAGCAAAGGCATCCCGAGGCGAAGGCACGTTGGTGTGGCTGAGGTATCGGAATACTGTGCCTGGGTCAGGCCAGAGGCCAGTCACCCGCATCAAGGTGCGTTTCGGCCGCCCTCAGCTGCAGCCATGGAGGTCGACTCAGCCAGAGTGAGGCTCATTCGCGGCCGTTGCACCCTTGTCTGCTTTACTCTCCCCTTGATCCCAGCGTTCTCATCTTTGTCGGGACTGTATGCTCTGGGGCGAAGCTGCCTCCGTGCTGGCACAAACTCATCGTCGTGGTATCTATATCTCTTCACTGTCCCCAGCAGAAGAAACTCAAACCCCACTCTTTAGGCACCTAAACCCTGGTCTCACGAGCGCTTCCGAAATCTGGACAGGATACAAATAACCCTTATATCAGGCCCCGCGGTCTGTAAAATAAGGGTTGTGGCAATCATAAAAACGTTAGGAGATAGTGCAGCAATGAGGCAATCCCCACCCATACCCAGAGAGCAGAGGGGGAGGACTCCGCTCGCAATTGTTAGGAAGAGCTGTCATTCATCTGTTGAAGCCCCAGGCCAGGGCTTCCCCCACCCCATGCCCCCCTAGCTGGGGCGCAGGCCGGCACCTGCCAGGCACACGTTCACCGCCTTTCTATGCCCAAAGTCCCAGCTCCTGTCAAGTCGTCCCTGTGAAGACACGGATGCCAGCAGGTACAAGCACCTCTGTGAACCTTGCTCCCCTGGCACTGGGGGAAGAGCAGAGAACATGGCCTTGACCTTCAGGAGTGCATACGCCAGTTCAGGCAGCCCCACACAGGAGAGACAGGAACACATGCCCTCCCCTCCAAAAGCAACCACTCGACAAATGTGAACTCTCAAAAGCACGAAAGCATGTTTTTTTCTGTCTTACCTACCATTTCTGAAATGAGGATGTTATTACAGCCAACGTGTACATTTAACGTGGGCGTGTTTCTCTTCTTCCTGCCATGTTATTAAATTGATGAGAAGTCTCAAAGCTACTGGTGGTGGCGTTTCGCAACGGAGGAAGCGAATACAAATGAAGAGGAAGGTTTCCTGGAGACAAACGGTCTGTTCCAGGGGTGGGGGTGGGGCGGGCTGCCAGGGAAAGGCAGACGTGGTGGCAGAGGCTTTGAGCAGTGACGGAAAGGGACGGCGGGTCAGTCTAGAGCAGCGCCGTCCAACAAAAATAGGGTGGGAGCCACAACCGATATTTTTAAAATTTCTAGAAGCTAGTCAAACGTTTTAATTTAGCCCAACGTATACAAAATACCAACGCAACATCTGAATATAAAAAAGTTACGGGAGTTCCCGTCGCTTCGGTGGCAGGTGGTCACCGCCGCGGAGGGCAGCGCCCGGGGGCCCGGGATGGCTCGCAGACAGCCAGCAGGAATCGGCAGCCGCC